GAAGGTGTATGGGATCACCCATGATACTTTTCCTTCAGAGCTCAGCACAGAGACTGTAGCACTTTTGCAGTAGCTCGTCTTAGTTCCCAGCAGAGGCAAAAGGAAAAAATACAAGATCAAAATTTGATAACTGAGTGATCAGACTCTGGTGTCTAATCTGGCCTTTATGAGCAGAGGTGGGCTGTCAAGACCTTTACGACAGATTCAGTGTTTGAGGGCTTCATCTAAACCTATAGCAAAGAGAGCTACATTTTTTCTGCTCTGTGACCCCAAATAACCAACTGGAGTGACATTGGTAGGAATGATTTTATATCCACAGGTAGAATGAAAGAGCTACAGAGATTAATTCAACTAATGTTGTTTTTCACTGATACAGGGATTGATGTCTACCTTAAATAAACAACAATACACATGTTTGAGGATACATGGTTACTACATTTTGGATTATCTCAGTAATCCATTAGACATAGTACTTTTAATTAAACATCAACCTCCCAGTTCCATCATAGATGAAATGATTGAGTATATTATTTGGTCAAGTTATTTTTCTGTCAACATATTCATGTTTATTTTCTGGTTTAACAGGTATCAGAGTTGGTTAACTTAGAAGGATGTTCAGGTTGTGTGAGAATGTCAGCCAGGAAGGAGCAGTGTGATATGACCCACACCTACTCGCTGCACCAGGAAACCTTGGTTTCCTGCTCCAGCAGAGCAACAGCACAGAGCACAGTGATTCTTCCTTCTCCTTGTCAGGCTCAAGTCACAATGCAGAGCCCTAAAGCTGAGGAGAAAGACGTTATCTCCTGTCTGGAAGGAAAATTCAAACATGTCGTTCTCCAGGCTGATAAACTTGATCGTGGCTTCAACATGGCTAGGTAAAAAGTTCCCATTAAGAATGGGCCTGCTCTGTGGCTAAGAATTGGGATACAACAAATGTATGGTGGGGACTTTGGAAAGATGGGCTCATGGGTATAGAAATGAAATTTCATTGTCTCTAGGACATATCCCTGTGCCTCCTACAGTAGTTCTCTCCTTTTTCCTTCAGGGTCCAGCATTGCTCAGAAGGTAACTCAAGCCCAGACAGTATCGGTGTAGGAGACAGAGGCAGCGATCCTGAACTGCACCTATGACACCAGTGATTCACGTTATGGTCTCCTCTGGTACAAGCAGCTCAGCAGTGGGGAGATGGTCTTCCTCCTTCGTCAGGATTCTTACAACCAGCAAAATGCAGCAGAAAGTCACTACTCCTTGCATTTCCAGAAAGCAAGCAAATCCATCCAGCTTGTCATCTCAGCTTCACAACTGGGTGACTCGGCAGTGTATTTCTGTGCACTGAGGGAGGCCACAGTGAGAGGACTGCTGGAAGGAGCTGCACAAAAGCCCTAGGGTCTGTCTGAGGGAGGCACCTGCTGTAAGGGTCAAGGCAGGAAGTCACCATCCCAAACAGGAAGTAGCCAGGCCAGAAGCAGCACAGGTGTCATGTTGGAGGGAGACCTCACTTTGAGAAAACCCCTCTGTAGATTCATGACCAAATCCAGAGTTTTCAGTAATCATAATCATCTCTATCCCTGAAGCTATGCCTCAAAGGTAGAGATAGCATTGTTGATGGAAGATTGGAAAGAAAGAACAGCCACAATAGACAATTTGCCATTTGGGCATCAGATTGAGCTCAAAGTGCATCAGAATAAAATGACTGAAAATCTGTATAAATTGTTGAATTTTTTGGATAAATTTGTTCAAATATTGAATAAATATGATGTAAGTACTGTTTTAAAAAAGAAAGGCCTTGAAATCTGTGTATATGTTTTCTGTTTAAAAAACTCTCATTTTATTGGTACTACTTAATGAATTAGTTTAATTTAGCTCTGCTGTGAATAAATGGAACTCACAGTACTTTCTAAGGATTCCCACTGTGTGATAAACTTTGAGCTGAAAGTTCCTTCCATCTTCAAAACACTTCTAGTATGAAAGAGCTCGGTTTCCACACTGAAGATTTATAGGTGCTTCTCCATTCACTTCCATTAAATGACTGGATAACAGTGGCTCTTAGAAGCACATGTGGAGAATCTCCTCCACAGAGACATACAACTCTTTTCTTGTTTGCAAATAAGGTATACTTTTCTCCTAAAATAATCAGCCTCTTTTTAATATATCAAATTCAACCTGCCACTAACCTATGTTTCCACATGCTTTATTATTTCCACTGACTTATTTGTTTCTTTCTATGCCAGCCCACAAAGGGAGTTTTATACTAAATTTTATTACTTATTAATGTAAATCACTCTTCACCAGTACTTTTCCTCAAGGATATTTTGATAATTTTTGCACATTTATTTTTAAACATATATGTTGAAAATTCATTCCATTTCTCCTCATGTTCAATATGCTTAAATGAAAACAAGTAAAAAATGAAATAAAAATGCTTGAAAACTGGAATGTTAACATTACATTTAAAGAATATATTAACATATAAAATATCAACTTTCTATTTTTTATTCTGGAAAATGCTACTTTTCTCACTTGATAAAAGCCTTTTATATGTCACAATTGCATTTTGAAGTTTCTTACCTTTAGCAATTTAATTTTTCTCAACTATCCGTCCATATTCAACCATGTGTCTACATATCTTATTTCAATTTTCTTTTATATATTCACTTTTATTTTTATTTCATATACAAAGAAAGACTGTTACAAAAATCACATCGGTTTGGTAGCTTAGAACTTCTAACCTTCAAGTACATATAATTGGCAACATGTTTATACTACCTAGACCATTAAACTTTATTAATGGAGCTACCCAAACCTTAATCCAACATCTACAAAGATAGCACAGTAAAAATATTAATCCTCAAACAAGACACAAATATTCAAATTAATATATTAAAACACAAAGCAGCATATTAACAAAATAATGCACCTCAATTTTTTAAAAAACCTATTCACTGACATTATTCATGTATTAAAACCTATTCATGTATTCACAAAAAGCTACAAAGTACCTACTATGTGACAATTTTTAGTCTGAGAACTAAAAGCCTTATCACAGACTAGCATGAAAATGATCTATTTCTATGCTCCAGGTTTGCCTCACCCATACTAATCTTATCAATGTAGAGATCAATAATTAATGGGCAATAGAGGGAAACAGTGAAGGGACAGAAAATGAATTGTCACCTTCTCTGCCCCTGTCCTTCATTTCATCTCTCCTCCTCCTCTCCTTCAAAGCACCGAACGGCGTCATGTGAATCATTTTGTGAAGCCCCAGTCCTGCTATGTTTGAAGTTCCACGATCTAAAATGCTCATTTTCTCCAATTTCCTCCTTCCAACTCCAACCACACTTTCCCATGCCTCAAAGCTAGAATGGTAGTAATTGGATGATCAGTGATCTTTTGTTGTAATTTCCTCTTACAGTAGGAAATGTGTAGACATAAATCTTAAAGGGAGCATCTTTCAAATGTTAAAAAATGTTTTAAATTGTGAAAAAAGCACATGACATAAAATATACCATCTTAATGATGTTAAGTGTGCAGTTCAGTGGTATTAAGTACATTCACATAGTTGTGCAATCATCTATCTCTAGAACAGGTTTCATTTTTCTAAAACTGAACTCTGCTGTACTTTATTTTACAACCCAGCATCATCCCAACTTATTTTTTACATACTATTTATCAGAAGAGAAGTTTGTAGCTGAATTTTCAAAATTCCTTACTAGCATAATTCTGTGTCAAGTTCTGACAACATGATTTGGAAAACAGAAAAGGAAATATGGGTGAGCCCAAACAACATGTGGCCCTGAATCACTTATTTAAGTCTGTGTCTAAAATGCAGTTCTCATGTAAACTCTGGATGAGGAGTGCCTCTAACTCACTGTGATGAGAGTGAACTCCAGAATCGGACTAGCTAATCATTCACCCATGTGAAAAGCATCCTTGAGGCTACATTCCGTTAGAGTATAGGGTTACCATTTGTCTGATTCAGTTGGCAGTCACCTTATCTTGGAATTAGTGAAATACCAGCGGGAAAAGATATTGATGTCAGCTTGTTAAATAGAAATCCAATAACTTAAATTATAATGTTTCCTTTATCTAGGAATCATAGTTTGCACTTTAAATGATAGTGAATTTTGGGACTGTTTGAGTATTTGATTAAAGAGTATGGCCTGTTTGCCCCTGAAAAGCAATTATTAAAATATAACATTCCTAAAAATGTATATTACTTTAGAACATAATAAATATTTTTATAAGAAGTAGTTACTTTTATTTATCAAACAAAATTGGGTGCCTAGTAACTGTCAATCACTAGTCTAATGTTGAAGTTCAGTGCTGAAGAACAAAATCATTTATTAACCACAGGACTTACTACTTCCCACGAGTTTACCCCAAATCACTTTTATGACTTTTTAGTGGATTGCAGGCTAGCCTACAATACATACATGAGAATATAAACTCCTGTATTAAAATGTCCACAAAAATTGATATTGTTTTAGGTACACAGATACCCTGGGATGCAGTACTGAAATGCTTTCCTGTCAAGCAGAGTCTTATGAACAAAAGATACCTTAGATATTATGACAGCTCTCCTTTAGATTCGCAAAGGCTACATGAAGTCTGGCATGTGCTCTGCAACTGAAGTCAGGGATGAAGACATATTTCTCACTTTGGAAGAACTTCGGGAAAACATTCACTCCTGTCCACCAGGGGGCGCAGCTACCTAACACAAGCTCATTTCCTGTGTGAATTCTGGGTTCAAAATCATTTCACCATCACTTTAACAGTTCTTCATGTTAAGAATCAAGAACATTACTTAAGCAGTGCTCTAAAGATGAACACTTTTCCCGGCGTAGTGACTGTAATATTCTTAATATTTGGTAAGTAAACTGCCTGTTAAATTTTGGATTCCTTTTTCTATCTCAGCAAAAATGTTAACAATGAATTTATTGTCAAAGTGACACAGAACTCTTTTTTTCCCAGGAAGGACACATGGAGACTCAGTGACACAGATGAGAGGCCAAGTGACCCTCTCAGAACATTCTGTCCTGACCATAAACTGCACTTACACAGCCTCACGGTACCCTGCTCTTTTCTGGTATGTCCAATATCCTGGAGAAGGTCCACAGGTCCTTCTAAAAGCCATGAAAGCCAATGAGCAAGGAAGAAACAAAGGTTTTGAAGCTACATATGATAAAGAAACCAGCTCCTTCCACTTGGAGAAAGCCTCAGTGCAAGAGTCAGACTCGGCCGTGTACTACTGTGCTCTGGGTGACACAGTGGCAGGAACTGCAGGGGGAGCTGAGCACAAACTCTGAACAGCAACAAGGAGCCTGGCTGCTGGGTGTCTGCTTCTGGAATCCACTGTGGTTTCCACACAGTTGTGGTGTTCATCTCTCCCTTTCTCTGCCTGATGTAATATCCTACTAGTGTCTAGAGCAGAAGAACATGAAGTACACATCTGCCACATTCAGCTTTTCATTAGTGAACTTGAAACCAGAATTTTACACTGATAGTTCTTTTTTTCATGACTAAAGTAATCTCAAATAAAAACCACATAACTGTTGTAGTGATCTCTGTGGGCACCTTTGCAGTTACAAGGTAGCTCCCATACCAAGTCACCCACCCTGGTAGATATTGCTGTGTCTTATTATGGGACAGCCACATGTGCCAGAGAAAGTGGAATCATAACAATGTCTCCCAGATTGTGAAAGAAGAGGTGATAGGGAGAGCTACAGCTTCCCAAGCTCTAGGCTTATTAATGGATAAAGAAGGAAAGAGAAAAAAGGAGAAACAATAGAACCTCACTTGTACCAATGATGAAAATGGTACAAAAAAAAAAAGGTTTCATAATGCAGATGATTTTTTAATTTTTATTTTGTAAATAAGAAGGTGAATACAAGCTGATATTCAGAAGAAAAGGAGGGACCAAAAGTATAACTAAAGGAACAACTCATGTCTAAATGATGAGTATCCCCCTTAGTTACACAAGTCATTTGATTTTCTCACACAGCCTAACATGAGTTCCTTGCAGAGCCAAAGAAAGGGTAAGCAGAGATTTTTACTCTTACCAACATGAAACCATATTAAAAATCCAATGAAGAAACTTAAAATGCAGAAACACACAAAGCATAGAAAATGATACAGCAACAGTGACAAAAAAATTTTAGAGGTTGAGATGAAACATGAGAACTTGCATAGCAGACCACTGAAAAAATCTATAAATAATAGACCAACCATGCTCTTCACCACAGCTATAAAGCAATAAATATTGGAGGTGTCTGTGACAGACTAAGAAACAGCACATAACGGGGTGGGGGGAGGAGAATGAGGAAAAGAGAAAGAAAGAGAGTAGGGGAAGAAAAGAGAGAGAAGAGGGGAAGAGGGAAAGAGAGAGAAAGGGAGGAGGGAGAAAAGGTGGAAAGAAGGAAGAAAGGGAAGAAGGAAGGAAAGAAAAGCAGACTCAACTTTTGGGCCATACTTATAGTAATCTGTGTGAGTAAAAAATTGTAGCATAGATAATTTTCACAAACTCATACCATCAGCCTTGGTGACTGAGCAGAATACTTGTTTCCTTCACATCTTTTTTTATTACAAAGCTTTGTGTCCATGGCTAATTAAATTATGAATCTAATGGAGCTTCATTTAACATATTTGCCATTTACATTTTCTATATATTTTCCATTTATATATCTGCCCATTTTAATCTTATTGTCTCTGTTCATCAATCTAACTTTGAACTCAGATCACACATTTGCAAAGCCCCACCCTTTTTTAAAACAATTTTTAAAGTAGGTTCAGGTTTAGGTTATAGAAATATTGAGAGAAAAATACACAGATTTTTCACTTCACCCCAAACAACCAACCCTGCAGCCTCCTCCATGATAAACATTCTCAACCAGAATGGTCCACTTGTAACAACTGATGAACCTACATTCACTCTTCCTAATCAGTCAAACCCCATGGTTTACATCAGAAGGCACCTTTCCAGTTGTACATGGATATATATTGTGTGTGTGTGTGTGCCAGGGATCGGACTCAGGACCTTGCACTTTCAAGGCAGGCAGCAGAACCATTGAGCTAAACCCCCTGCCGTGTATATGGGTTTTGATAAATGTTTAAGGAATCCTATCTACCTTTATATTGTTGTACAGAATACTCTCGCTGTCCTAACCATTCTCTGTGCTCTTCCTTTTAAATCCATTCTGAACCCAAACCCTGACGATCACTGCCCCTTTTACCATGGTTTTCTTTTTCCAGCATGTCATTTGATTGGAATCATAAAGTGTGCTGCCTTTTCACACTGACTTCTTTCACTCAGTAACATTAACTTAAAATTTCCCCATATCTTTAATGTCCTCATAGCTCATTTCACTTGAGTGCTGAATAATATCTCTTTCAATGGATAGATGACAGTTTATTTACACATTCAATTCCAGAAAGGCATAGTGGTTGCTTCCAAATTTTGGCAATTAAGAATAAAGCTGCTATAAACATTTATATGCAGGTTTTGGAGTGGACATATGTTTTGAAATATTTGGAGGAAACATCAAGGAGCATGAGTTCTGGGTCACATAAAAACAGTATGGAATCACTGCCAAACTGTCTTCAAAAGTAGCTGCACTATTTTGAATTAACATAGCACTGTATTTATTAAAATTAAAAGCTCATCCATGTAGCTCTTGACATGACCTCCTGTATCAAATACTCTTTAAGAAAGACTCACTGACCCAGTCCATGCCCATCTTTTAATTGATTAAATGATTAGCACACACAGACATGGTGTGACTTACTCAAAGCATGACTCACAAATAAAAGCCAGGCACATGGACTCCTTAACAAAGAGTGTTTCCACAAGACACAAAGCAGGATCCACAATCTGAAGGAAGGAGTTTTGTGTTGCAAACTAAATGTGTTACTTAATTTTGTTATTTTGATATATGAGAAGATATAAGCATTCACTTCTATATTTCCATGGTTTACAAATGACAACTGTCTCCATTTAAAAATTTTAGGTATGCATATACAGCTGTATTTTTCTATGACTGTGGATTATTATGAATCCAATATTATTAACATGGTTGTCTCTCTCCACATTATAATTATGGATTTTTCAAGGCAGACATCCTACTGAGGGCATAATTTAAAGTAATCATCCAGTTACTTTCTATTGATTTTTTTTAAAAACCTGATTATATTTTGAAATAGGTTCTAATTATCTAATAATATAGATAATCTTTTATGAATATCATAAAATAATCATTTTATTGAAAATAGAGTTGCTGGTATAAAAGAAAAAACACAACACCTAATGCACCCTTTTCATGAAGATGCTTTTTACCAAACTGTGATTTTAACAGTAGCACGTGACACTGATTTCCCAATACCTCATCAATGATGGATATTTTTATGGTAAAGTAGCATCCATTTAAGTGAAAGTTTTCACAGTATTTGAACTTTCTTTTTCTAATAACATGTGAAGTTATACTTTGGGGTCTTAAAATTAAATAACACAGGATGAAACACATCAAAGTACAGCACACAGATTCAGAATCCTTTCCTACCATAAGATGTGTAAGATAAATAAAGTTTGAAAAGCATCGTTCTGGTGCAAGCTACCTTCTCTTTTGTCATTTTCTCTCACAGCCTGTATTGCACACAGCCACACTTCTCAAAGTGAGGAAGAGCAGTCTCTGAAACTGTGCAAAAGCTCAGGATCCTGCCAAATATATGGAGCTCAAGTTTATATGCTGACAAGGTCCCCATGAGAATCAGGTGCTTAACTGTTGAAGAAGCGTCACTCTTTTGGATTGCCAGAGTAATATTTTCAGAGCTTTTGTCAAATTTATCCTTACCTGAAATGCTTCAATGACTTTCTGTTGTTCCCAAAATAAAATACAAACTTCAGGCTGTGATACACAAGGTTCTACGTGATTTGAACCTGGCCTGAGCCTTCAATCTCAGTTTTTGTTTTGTTTTGCTTTTGTTGGTTTTATTTGTTATTGTTTTGTTTTGAGACAGGATCTAGATATGTAGTTCAGGATGGTCTTAAACTCACTGTGTAGCCCAGGTTGGCCTTCAACTCGCAGCCATCCTCCTGCCTCAGCATCTCAGGTGCTGGGATTACAGGCGTGCACCACCATGCCTGGCAAACTCAGTTCTTAATTTTCTTTTCCCACCTCTCTCTTCAGCCACAAGACTGGCTCCTTCAGTTTTCTGAACTTGCCACATTTTTCCCACAGTTAGTATTACATTACTCATTTGCATACTTGAAACGTACTTCCCCATGTTTTGGGCGGCAGCAGCCTGCCTCATTGTCACATTCAGGTCTCAGCTCAAATACGACTACTGTAGAGAAATCCCCTGACTTCTGCTGACCTCTTGCCTAAGCAGCCATGCATAACCCTCCCCTTACTATTTTCTATCGCACCCTGGTTATTTCCCTCATGATAAGTATTGTAACATGGGCTATGTTGTTGATTTGTGTTTCAATGTGGTGAGTGTTTATTCCATCAATTAGAACACCGGTTTATAAGGCCAGGTTAATTATTTTTAATTAACAGCTTTATCCTTAGTGTCTAGACTAGTGACTGACCCATTGTAGTCAGTTCATAAACATCTACTGAATGAATGTTGCTTGGCTCTCTTCGCATTCTCCTTTTTTATTTCTCTCATTCCTACCCCAGCAACTTAGTGTATAATCTTTGCTTCATGAGAGGGCAGCACAGTTCCTCTGGGCCGTTCTCCTCAGACTCAGATCTCCACTCTCCTGTGATCATGGATTGCTGTCAAATAATTGATCCACACAAGGGCAAGGTCTTAACCTTCCCTCATCTACCTGAACTCACTTCATCAAATGCAGTCAGAAGGGCTGAGCTCACACTAGGGGTAGTAGCCCAGTGGGGAAATATCAAAAGGACATAAAAAAGCCATAACCGAAAGATGTAGAAAAATATAAAAGTAATTTCTCAGGTCAAGTTATTATAAGCACCTGTCAAAATTTTTATTGCAAATTATTGTAAGTACAAAACTTCCTCAGGAAACAAATTTAAATAATTAGCCTTAGACATTTTGTAGATTAGATTTTTAAAGGATATAGTGAAAAATAATTATTTTGGTCAATGGACTGGTAAATAATATTCCTACTTTTACTATCTATATGGTAGCTACTAGGCTCTTCACAAGATTAATAGTGATCTGAGTCCGTAGTACTACTTTTGCAGTTTTTATTTCATTAAAATATATCAGGAAATTCCTCATGCATTTTATCAGAAGAAATGTAAAATTCATTAAGGGACTACATTTTACATTCTTAAAA